ACCCAACGCTCTTATATGACCTCTACCCCGAGGTCATAACATTACTGACTTTGAAAATCTTCCTAAACATTTCCCTTAATAAGAAACTCCACCTCCCCTATTATATCCTCTCTATCCCAGTGACCCCCAAGCAATCATCATTCAAATTCCATTCGCCATTGCCTGATTCCTTATCTCAGTTCTCTTCAACTCACCAGTCACCTCCCACCCAAAGCCATCCACCCCTTCCACTGTGCCCTCTGGAATGCCTGATTAATATGCAACAAACTTGCTTTCATCTTACCTTTTCCTTTCCCATCCTTTCTGTCCTGGCTGTCTTAGAGACCTGGTTCCCTCCTGATGATGCAGCCTCCTTGGTTCTCCTTTCAAACACTGGCTGTACTTTCACTCATTCCCCTGGCTCATTGGTGGAGGCAGGGAAATGGGAATGCTCCTTGGTCTCCCTTGTCACTCCCCAGCTCCCCCCTTACCCACATCACTCAGTACCTCTCTTCACTTGATATTCACGAAATCCATATCTACCACTCAGTCAGAATCCTAGTAGCTTATCTACACACCTCTGGGATACTCTGCTTCTGGCCTCAATGAGTTCAGTATGTGGCCCCCCAATTCCTGTCCTCACACTAGGGAGCTTCAACATACAGACTGATCCTCCTTCAAACACCTCAACCAACCAGTTACTCAACTTACTCATTTCCAGTGACCTCCTCCTCCATTCCACTTCAGTCACACACAAACACAGCCATATCCTTCATGTTGCCCTCACCCGCAAATTCCCATTTCCGTGTTCGTGAACTCTGAAATTCCCTTATTAGGTCACAGTGTATTTGCATTTCATTTCTTCTTCTGCCTTACAAGCCATAAACCTATTCTTTGTCCATACTGTGACCTTTGATCCCTTTATCCCTCCGTTCTTTCCTAGGCCATCAGCCCTGTACTAGCTACATTCTCCTCTTTCCCCCATTTTGACCCTTTGATGAACTGATTCAACTCTACATTGTCTTCTCTTAAGTCTTTTGCCCACTTATATATACCAGCTCACCTCTGGCAACCCTCAGTCTTGGAGCACTCCTATCCTGAACAAAGGTGGAGAATGTGTCCACTACAAATTTATGTCACATAATGTCAACTGGGTTCTCCATTCTGCTGGGCAATCCTTTCTTACATACTTTCCTAATTAACTCACTATTCTACTCACTACAGAGACTCTTTCAAACCGCTCCTCAAAATGCCTAGGGCTTCTCCTCCCTTCCCCTCTCCGCTGAGAATCCTGCCTCATATTTTACTGAAAAAAAATTGAAGGGACTTGCTAAGAGTGCCCTCTTCTCCCCTCTTCCTCATATCACTCAGTGCCTTCTTCTGTTACTTCTTCCTTCATCCCTGTCTCACATGATCAGGTGGCCCTTCTCCCTGCCAAGCCCAACCCTCCACATGCACAAGTGATCAGATGCCATCTCATTTTATCCAGCTGATAATCCTTTTTGTCATCCCCATCCTCTTTTATCTTCAGTCTCTTCCTGTCTACTGCTTCTCTACATATATGCCAGTCTCCCTCATTCTCAAAAAACCCTCCCTTGATCTGTCCCTCCCTGCTAACTCTCATCCCATCTCTTTCCTGCTTTTTATGGTTAAATTCCTGGAGAAGGCTGTCTACAATAGGTGCTTCCATTTCCTCTTCTCTCACTCTCTTGTTCCACAATCTGGCTTCTGACCATTCAACTGAAGTTGCTCTCTCTGTAGTTATCAGTGATCTCTTAATTGTCAAATCCAATGGCCTTTTCTCAATCTTCATCTTTCTTGACTTCTCTCCAGACTTTGACACTGCCAATTACTCACTTCTCCTTGATAACTCTCTTCTTTCTAGGACACCACTCTCTCCTGGTTCTCCTCCTACCTACCTGACCCCTTCTCAGTCTCCTTTGCTGGATTTTTGTCCAGGTCGTGCCTGCTAACAGTGGGTGTCCCATAGTAAGCGTTCTCTCTCTCTCTCTCTTTCTCTCTCTCTCTCTCATGATTCCCCTATATCTCCAACAATCCAATAACATCATCAAGGCCTGTAGAGTTTACTTAGATAACCTCTCTTGAATATGCTTTCTTGTCCTTTGCCTGGTACAAGTCTTTCCCCTACTCCAGTCCACACCCTACTCTGCCACCAAAATTATTTTCCTAAAGTGTAAGTCCAAATATGCCATCTTCCACTCAATAAACTCCAGTGGTTCCCTATAAACCTCCAAAAAGAAACATTCAATTTTGTGTTCTAAGACCTTCCGAGCCTCCCGTACCCCAAACACCTTTTTCCCCCCACATGCCTCTCCCCCTTACTCTTCTGCATGTACTCTTGGATCCATTGACACTGGTCTCCTGGCAATCCCCCAAACAAGAAACTATCTCCTAACCCTGGGCATTGTCTCTGGCTATGCTCCTCCCTCCACCTCCCCCCAATGCCTGGAGTGCTCTCGCTCCTCATTTGTGCCTCCTAGCTTCCTCCAAGTCCCAGCTAATGTCCCACCGTCTACCAAAAGCCTTTTGGGATCCCTTAATTCTAGAGCTTTCCCTTTGTGGATGCTATCATTTCCTGTTTATCCTGTCTCTAGGTTGTTTGCACGTAGCTGGTTGCATGCTGTCTTCCCCACTAGACCGAGAGTTCCTTGAGGGCAGGGGCTGTCTTTGGCCTTTCTTTGTATCCCTGCTTTCTCACTTATATCTTCAATCTCCTTTCTCAGAGTCTGCTTCCCTACTTCAGGCTAAAGGCAGTCTGCTCCTTTCGTTAATTACTAGGCTGCAGCTGCAAGGGGACTGAGCTTCTTTCCTTTTCTAGAACAGAGGAAGGGACCCGTGGGAGGATGAGGTCTACACATCCATTTCAGAAAGGAAGGGCATAATTAGCTTTGGTGTCATGCCAACTATGTGTCTAAACTGGGTATACGTCATTGGTCTGAGCTGTCTAGTCAAGCCATGGCTGTGTTCTTCTGGGACAAGTGTGAAGTCTCCCCTCCTTCCAAAGGGGCGCTAGCTAGTAGCTGAGGTGATTAGTTTCCTTTCCCTTCCCGGGGATGTTCCACCCCAGCATCCTTCCTTCATTTCACAATCTCAGGCTTGTCAGCGGACCTTCTGCTGGATATCCCAGAATTTTAGACTGTCAGAACCGGAAAAGAATTTGGAGATCATCTTACTCCTATATAGATATGGAAACCAAGGTCCAGAAAAGTGAAATAATTTGCCCATGATCACACAGCAAGTGAGTGGCCTTGGTAAGACTCAAATCCTTCACATCATCCTTTGGTGCCAAGCATCCATGCTGCATGTAGTTGTCACTGCACAGCCTTTATATATTTTTTTTTAATCATCGTTAATTTATTTTGATTTATCAACAATCACTTCCATAAGCTTTTGAGTTTTAAAATTTTCTCCCCCTTCCTCCCTACCTCCAGCCTTCATAATTCTGAAGACTTGGAAAAGTGAGGAAGATATTGATGGGTGTGAGGCATAGAAATTATTTGGGTCCTGAAGACCAGTAAATCATGGGATCATAGGATTTGAATCTGGAAGAAAACTTGGAGAGCATCTCCTCAAACCCTCTCATTTTGTATAGAAGGAAACTGAGATCCAAGGAAGGAGACGGGACCAGTCACATAGCTTGGGGCAGAGCTGGGATTTAAACAGATCCTGTAATCTCTAATTTAGCCCTCTTTTAGTGTTGATAGTTGAATGGCAGGATTGGATGAACCTAAGAAAAGAGTTTAAATGAGGTAGGAAGCACAAATAAGGGGAAACTGGAGATAATTCTCCATTAGAATGTTAACTCCTTGGTGGCAGGCAAGGTTTTTGCCTTTCTTTATATCCCTGAACAGTGCCTGACTCATAGGAAGTGATTAGTAAGTGCTTGTCAAGACTGGAAGAGGGGTCAGTAGGGCTGGGAAGATAGCCATCAAAGTTAAATAGGATTCAGTGGTTTAGGATATGACCAGTGGGAAGGGAGTTAATGAGGCAAGGAAGTAGTCAGTGGGGTTTGGGCTGGGGTGTCAGTGGGTACAAGGTGATCACTGTGGCTGAGCAGCCAATGGAGGAGGTTAATGGTATTGAGGAGTTTTGGTGGCTGAGTAGTAGGATGGGAGTCTTGATGACTGGAGGAGCCAGTGGGGCTGAGAAACAGCCAATGGAATTGGGAGTGAGTAGAAGAGGGTGAAGTCTCAGTCCTAGGTAGGAAGGAGTCAAATGCGTATGAGATAAGGAATGTCAGGGTCCCCTGAGGCTGGGAGGGGTCAGGGGGTTGGGAAAAGATCACTGGGATGGCTAGCAGGTTAAGGAGGTTGGGGAGTCAGAAGGGTAAGAAAAAAGGCCAATGGGTGGTGAGGTGATCAATGAGGATGGAAGTTAGTCAGTGGGCCAGGGGGCTGTTGGGGATAAGTGGTGGTCATTGGAATGGGGGGGGGTCGAAGGGATGGGAGATGATTTGGGAGGTCAGTGGCGGTGGGTAGCTGGTTACTAGGGCATCAGTGGGGCTCAGATAGGGTCAAAGGACGGGATCCATGACTTGATAAGGGGGTCCACTGGGAGGTTGTCAAAGAGGTCGCAAGGGGGTCAGCGGGGCAGGGAGATGAAGCTGGTGGGGACGGGGTGAGCAGGAGGGCTAGAGCAGGCACGGCAGAGGGTCATGGGGTCAATGGGAAGGGTCAATGGGAGGTGGGGTCAGGAGTGGGAGGAGGGAATGGGGAGGACAGGATTAGGAGGCGGTTTGTGGACAGGGAGGGAGGCTGGTCATAGGGGCAGATGTCGCCAGGACCCCTCCCCACGCTCCCAGACTGGCCTCTAAGAAGCTCTCGCGAGTTCCAGGACGCGGAACGCGACAGAACGAGAATCGCGCTAGGCTCCGCCCAACCCTCTCTCGCGGAGCCGGGCGTCGGCAGCGCCTCTGTGCGCGTGACGTCAGCACGCTGCGCGCGCGCGCGCGGGGGGAGGGCTCTGGCGGCGGCGGCGGCGGCGGCGGCGTCTGACGAGGGGGAGGAGGAAGCGGCGGCGGCGGCGGCTCTGTTGATCCGGCCGCGGCGCCGACCCGGCTCCCGGGCCCGTTCGAGCGCTGCCCTCCTCTGGCCCTCCATGAGCCGAGGCGCCGCCGCCGCCGCCCCCCGCCCCGGCGTCTATGGAAGTGATGGACGGGCCCCTCAACCTGGTGAGTGCGGCACCTGGGAGGGGAGGGCCGGGGCTGGGATGGGGGTCTGCCGAACCCCTTCCTTCCCCGCCCCCGGTCCGCGGGCCTCAGTGTTCCCCTCTGAAAACCTGGGCGCCTGGCCTCCCAGGCCTCTGCCCGCCCTCTTGACTCGGTTTCCTCCGCTGTAAAACGAGTACCCAAACTCTGAGTCCCGGGGTTGCTCTTGCCTTAAAGCCCCTTACCCTCCCCGGGCCTCAGTTTCTCCCCCTGAGAACGAGGGACTGGGCTCGGACTGGGACTCCTTCAGGGTCTGAGCGTGGGTCTTGCCTCCACGTCTTTCTCCTCTCTGAGCCTCGGTTTCCCCCGCTGTAAAACGAGGACGTGTGCAAACCCCAAATCCCGTGGGTCTTGGTACCCCCGCCCCCTCCCCATTCCCCGGTCTCCAGGCGGCTCACCCCCCCCACCCCAGGTTCCCAGGCTTCCCCGAGGGGAGGGGAGGCCAGGGGGGTGGGGGTGGGGGCGCGTGGGGCCGGGGTGCCACGTCGCTGCCCGGGCTCGGGTGGGGGAAGGGAAGGTCATTTTCCACTCTTTCCCCCAAGTTGTTAATGGAAGGAGAAGCCCCGGTAGGGTGGGCCCCCAGGGAACGCATTCTCTGTTCCAGAAGCCCCCGAGACAGCCTGGGCTGAAGGCCCCCGTGTGCCCCCATCCTCTGGCCTGAGCAGAAATTAGAGGGCTCCCCCTCCCCACAGAGAGAAACCCCCCATAAAAAAGAACAGAATGTCCACTTTGCTTTCGGCCCAGGCTTCTCCCCTAGTAGGACCAGAGTTTTAAAATCTTTTTCTCAGAACAGGTGCCGGCCAGGTGTGGTGGAAAGTACGGTGGTCGTGGAGTCTGGGGATTTGGGTTCAGGTCCTTCTACTGGTCAACACCCTGTGATCTGGACAAGTCACGGGGGGGGGGGGGGCCGGGCGGGGGAGGGGGTCTTGATTTCCTCTGCTGTAAATTGAGGTGGTTTGGATCAAATGATTTCCCTTCTAGCTCTAAATCCCAGGATGTCAACAGTCTTGTTTTCTTTTTTCCTTCATCAACTTTCCTCCTGCAACTTAAGCTATGGGTGAGTTGTTTCCAGCCCAGACGTGACTTAACCTTTGGAGGGGAATAGATCTATTTGTGGCAAAAATGGAATTGCAGTCTTAAGTCTTATTAATGGGAATGTATTGTTTAGAAGGAGGGAGGTTGATAGCCTCACTGGAATATTGTCTTCAGTTTGGGCTGTTACATTTTAAGAAGGTTGGACAAGCCAGAGGACAGGGGAGTGTGACCACAACTGTGAGGGAGTAGAACAAGGAGTAGAATCTGAAGGAACCAGGGAGCTTATACTTTTAGGGCTGGAAGGGACCTTAGAGGCTGTCTTGTCTAACCTTTAACAGGCCTTGAAATGTTAAGAACTCGGACCAGAGTTACATAAAGTAAGCAACTAAAGTGTACTTTAAACCTTTATCCTCTGGCTCCAGAGATCTACTGGTCTTTCCACTGCCTTGGACTAGGGTAGTCCAGGTTCTCAAGAATTCATAACTACCCAAGTATCTGAAGGGCTATGAGGTAGAATAGAGAGGAGTAGTAATAACTTGGTATTTAGAAATGATGCTTTAAAGTTTGAAAAGGGCAGCATTATACCTGACTCAAGTTACAGAGGGCTTTATTTCAACCAGATATAATAGAAAACTTCCTAACAGTAAAAGCTACTAAAAGTAGAATTAGTTGATTCAGCAAAAAAAAAAAGTTCCTTTTCCCTTAAGACATTCAAGCAGATTTTTTTGATGAGGAGAGCAGAGTGGTGGAATTCATGCTTCAGATACAGCTTGGGCTAGGTGACCACTGCAAATCCTCTCTTGTCTCTCAGATTGTGTGATTCTTTGTCTTCTGCTTGGATCCTTCCATGTCATCACCTAAGGTTGGTGTTGCCTTCCTCTGTTAGGCTATAGTAGAGAGATCTCACAGGAAATCAGACTGAGCAGGGGAAGAGTTCTGAAAACCTTCAGAGTTGGCTGTCAGAGGGAGGGGAAGGGAGAGGCAGAGTGAGGGAAACGAGGGGACGGATGGAGCTCTTTTCAGAGGGAGAGAAAAAGGAATGGAAGGATTATTTTTATTTGAGGATTCTAATGACCTTGGTGTAATGAAAGCACTGGACAGGGAACCAGAAAGCCCAGGTTCTTAGTCCAATTTCTTTCTCTAATTAGGAGCTCAAGCAGGTCCCTTAACTCTGGGCCTCTGTTTCCTCATATAATCAAGCATACTAAGCACCTGAGCGTCAGGCTGGACTAGAAAGACCAAGGTATGACAGGACCTGTGTTCAAGGACCTTAAATTCTCCTCTAAAGACCATACTTCAATGAATGTAGGAAGTCATGGCTTTATAAAAAAGGGGTGCTCAAAGATAGCCCCTTTGGTTTTTAACGTGAGAGACTGTATTGTTCCCTATGAAGGAAGTGCTAAAACTTCATAGGAATATCCTCACAAATGGTAAGACATTTACAGAGTACTATTTCAAGAAATAAGGTATGGTCATTCCTTAAGGTCTAGGGCGGACTAGTTAATTCCACTCTGCACTTTGGCTACAGCCTGCCCCATTACCCTAGTCTGCCTTGCCAGGTCACAGGATGAGAAATGTAGGTGAAGTGGCACAAACTAGTCTTTTGGCATTTTAGAAAAGTAATTCAGCTTTTGGGTCAGTGGCCTTGCCTTTTTGTGTGAAGCCCAGAATATTGTCTGATTGGAAAAAATGAAGTAAGGTTTGGAGCTAGAGATTTTAAACATTTTTGAAGAGACATCCACATTGGGTACCAGTCACCAATAGAATCACAGACCTAGGATCAGATGCTGGTGATAGAGACAAAGAGTTAAAGGCATGCATTCTCCATACTCAGCATTTTAGACTATGATATTTGGTATCGGGAATTCTGATGATTAGGTACTGGAAATTTTGGTTTCTTGCTGAGTGCCTAGAATATATAAGGCATCTACATTAGTAGGTACTTAATCAGTGTTTGTCAAATCAACAGCACGAGCTTCATGAGAACAGAAATGATTTCTTTATTTTGGTCTTTGTCTCACCAGCCTCTAGTTAGCATGGTGCCTGGAACTCAGTTGGGGCTGCTTTAATTCTGATTGATTCTTCCTTTCTTCCTCCCACCTGGAACCCCCAACCCAAACTGTATGAGGAAATATTTGGTTCAGGGAGTGTGCCACTGGTAATTCTCTTGCCTTTTTATTTTTTTTTTAATTTTAAGGCAATTAGGGTTAAGTGACTTGCCCAGGGTCACACAGCTAGTGTCTAGTGTCTGAGGCCAGATCTGAACTCAGGTCCTGACTGCAGGGCTGGTACTGTATCTACTGCGCCACTAGCTGCCCCCCGCTTCTTGCTTTTGATGATGATTATTCCTTATGTTCCTGAGGGGGGTTTAGAGATGACTGTCACATTTCACTGGCATCAGGGGTGCCATTCTTTTTTGTGTCCTGCCCATGGAGGAAACCGCTTAGAGGTAGGGTGAAGATTACATAAATGCCAAGGAGATGTTGGCATCAGGATGACAGCAGGGAAAATTCCAGGGGTGGTTAGTTATTTCTATTAGTGAAGCATTAACTTTGTCCAAAGCTATTTTATAGGGAGCTTTGCAATGATGAATCTGTAAAGCATTCCTTCTGTAAGTCTGGTAAGAACGACTTCCCATTTTTCATAGACAACAAAACCTAGGCATAGTGAAGGGAATTATTGCCCAGGTCAATGACTCATCAACACATTATGGATCACAAACTTATTTGAACTCCCTGACCTTTCCTCCTTCATTTTTTTTCAGGCTGACTCCCTGATGCACAGGCTAATTTTAGTGTCACATTCCCATACTGCCAAGGGGTCCCAGATGTGTATAGGATTAGTAGGTACCATTTAGATCAGAATTTAATGTCTTCGAATTGATTTGGCCATTGTCAAATTTGCCACCGGGATGTGCAATCCTGTTATGTTATATTATACTTAACATAGAGTTGAACAGAGTAGGTTTGAAATATCCTGTCAAATATGGCATACATGTTATGACGACAGGTCTTTATTCACCTGAAGATAAAAAAAGGTGAGTAGTGATACTAATTCCAATAAATTCAACAAATGTTTATTGAGCTGCTATGGTCAAGGTACTACTTAGGATAAAAAGATGGCATCTTTTCCCTCAGTTTTGTATATCCTAGATTCATTATAGGATATAAATTAAAATATATGAACATTATAATCATTAGATGTGACTACATGTGAGTTCTGGAAGAGCTAGTAAGTACTTCACACTGAGTCATCGGAGACCTGGGGTCAGATCCTGCCCCTGGCATTTAAGGGTTGAACAACCATAGGTAACTTCACAGGATCTCAGAGGTTAGAGCAAAGAAGCACCTCAGAGGTTATCTAGTCCACCTCCTCATTCTACAGGTCAGAAAGTTGGGGTTCAACAAAATCCAATGATTTGCCCAAGGTTACACAGGTGACTGATGAAGCCAATATGTGGCAAGGGCCTTCATCTCCAAATCCAGTCAGTGTTCTTTGGACTTTCTAAGATGCTGTGCTCAATACTTGTTCAGAAATTATAACTCTTAATGTTAATTTTTTTTTTGCCAGAGATAAAAAACCTTTAAATTCTCTAATTAGTCCAGATGTGGATTGATTTATAGGAGAACAAATTTAAAAACAAGTTACTAACCTCTCTAAAATAGATAATGACCTCTATTATCGACCTCACTGGCTTGTTAGGGTCTAATGGGATAAACTGTCTGTAAAGCACCTTGTAAACATGGTCAAGCTGCCTAAATGTCATCTGGTAACTACTACTACTCATGGTCTGGCACTTATTTATTTCCCACTTCACCTGAGGACACAGCAGAGCCTATTTCTGCACAGGCCTGGAAAGCAGGATGGACCAGCCTGTTCTTTTCCACTGCTCAGTTTCAAGTTGCCCTTTGGCAGCAAAGTGACAATGA